GCTAGAACTAGCAAGGCAAACGCAAGTAGAGAAAGAATAACAACTTCCTCTTTCCAGGTCCTTATATATAGGATTCCAGCAGAAGGTATGACTCAGATTAATGGTGTGTCTTCCCACCTTAAAATCCAAATCAAAGGTTTGTGCCTTCCTACCTTAAAGGTCTGGACTAGAAGCAGATTCACCCACTTCAAACCAAGCAACAATAATCTCTTGCAGGTGTATTATCTGAATCTGAATTGTAGTTTATTCCAGATGTGGTCAAGCAGAGAACCAAGAATAGCTATTACAGTCCAGGATTGAGCTCAAAATACATACAAAGACTACCAGATAGCAAGCCTGCATAGCTTGCTGGTGCCTAGACTCATAAGTCATCCAGTGAGCCGAAGGCCTACAACATTCCAATAGTAAGCAAGGGACTTCTCAGATGGGATATAAAGCTACACTGGAGGTGTAAGAACGCAAGAATGTCGAATGGAGAAGACTTACTTCACCTTTTTCTTTTCTATAATATTTTAATCCAACTAATATTATATGCCACTAATGTTTTGGAGATTATATTTTCTGTTTGAAGGTGTGATATAAGTGATTCTATAACTCTAAGAAAAGCATATAAACTAATCATAATCTTAAAAATCAAGGTAGCATTATAGAATAATGCCTTCCCTGGCTTTGGAGCCTACTTTTAGTTAACAGAGATAACTGATCAGAACCGTTGCAGGAACACATTGGCCACCACTATCAGTGCTGTTAGAGTTGATGTACTATTCGGTACTAGTTATACATTGTCCCACCTGACCCTGAAGAACATCTCATATACTACAGACTATTACAACTACTAGCATGAATGCATGCAAGAGGCCAAGTTAATTTCCTGAGCATCACACCAAGTAATAGCATATGTACAGTAATTCAATTGTCCATGATCTGGCTTGCTACTCTTGCTGCTTAAGAGGTCTTAATAGTCCAGCATATTCTCAGAAGGTAGAGTGGAATCAAAAGAAGCTTTACCTCCCTTCTTTTCCTTTTCAATGGCATAAGATTAACTTAAGTTATGGAGTAATTGTTTCTAGATTTGTTACCTTAGAATTCCTAAACACATTGAAAATTGAGGATATAGTTCCAGTGTAGGGCTCTTATCTAGCATGTAGAAGTCCCTAGGTTTGATCTGTAGTACTACAACCAAACAAAATATACCCAGATGGATCAATGAAATCTCCTTCTAGTGGCTACATTGGAAGTAGCACATTGGCAAGTCTCTGCTTGTCCTTGTTTAAGCTAATACCTCTAAGCTAACCTGTTCAGAATTCCGATTCAACTAGTTGTTCAAGAGTTTAGCCAACTGAAAGAGTCAAATGTATGATGTTAGATCTACTTTTTCTTTTTTATTGGATATTTCATATATTTACATTTCAGATACCATCCCCTTTCCCCATTTCCTCTCCCTAGAAATCGCCATTCCACCCTCCTCTTCTTTTTTGCTTTTATACTATTTTAATTACATCCAAGTATTAAGTTAAGTTCTAGGTTGAGGAACTAGCAATGCAATAGATGTGATATCTAGGTCTCTGTTTTTGTTTATTCTGTCACATGAAAGAAATAAATCTATTTCCAACAATGTGTTAAAGTTATGAGAGTTTTATCCAAATTTGATACTATGTCATTGAATTGATTTGTCCTGCCTTAGAGTCAATGCCATGAAATTAAGCTAGTAGAAATTGTCTCTATGTAACTGGATCTCAAAATACCTTTGTATGTCTTACACTTGTCTTATGTGTCAGCTCTACCCTGAGCTCCAATAATTGCTTTTATCTTTGAGCTCTGGCATGAGTCATTAAATTCAAATTCTTTTAAGAAAGATAAATAGGATTATAATTCTATTGCTGTTTTCTGTTTCAAAATAGAATTACCTAACAATGTGCCCTTTATGCTTCTGACAATGAAATTAAAGCTTACTTTCTTCCTCAGTCTGGTAGCTATTTGCAGATTCTGACTTTACTATTAATGGCTTGCTTAAAAGGGGTCTCATATTTTACCTTTTAAAATTTTTAATGTCAAATATTATGAGCACTCAAATTGCAGGTAAATGGAAGGCACTTTCTATAGAAGAGAAAAAGAATGAACTGTATTCTGGAATTTGATATGCCTCGAAGCATGTAGTTTTATTGGAATACTAAGATTTCATGTACTACCATTTTTGTTTATTTGTTTTGTGATAGCGTCTATGTAGCTGTGGCTTGGCTGGAAACTTACTATGCATACCAATTTGACCTATGATCCTCATGCCTCTGCCTCCAGGATGCAAGGTTTACAAACATGGTATCATAACTCCCCCATGTCCTATTATGGTATAGGATGTCTTAGTTGACCATTAAACTTCCAAGTCAGATGGATGCTCCTGAGCAGCAGGCTTTTATGAACAACTCTACTAGAGCAATTAGAGACCATTCAATTCATTAATCTAAACCAGGAGATTCAATAAATGAGTTCTGACTTAGTTGACTGTCTTTAATTCTGCTCTTAATTCTACTTGTGATAATATATTAGATATTAACCTGGAAATGTGACCCTGTAACATCATCATGGCTTAAAAAGCTTTGCTCCTAACAAATAGACGGTAATTCATTAAGCACATATATGAAATGTCATTGAAGCGATCGATATTAAATATTAATGTAATGAACATTAAATAATACAGGCCAAGAGTGGTATGTCACTATGAGTAGTAAATTCAGATGATTATTATCTACTGTCTAAAATGGAAGGAAAGCAAAGCTCAAAGGGAAAAATGTTAATATTTTCTTTAGAGACTTAAATTTTGAAGTAGATGGAGGGTCTTGAAATAAAAGCAATGTTCTTATGCATTTTATTGTTGATTAGATTTAGTCATTTCACATGGAGAAAGAGCTGTCAATCATCACAGTGATATTTCTGTAAGTTATCATACTTGTAAATATTCTTAATCAAGGATAACTGGTTTTTAGACTCCCATTTTTTTCAGCTGGACAACTAAATCTGACAACATAAAATTATTCATAAAATAAAATGTTTCCAATTAATATCTTCTGAGGAAAGTGTGATCAAAGAGAGTCTTGTCCTTCACGGTCATTGTACAATTTCTCAAAGTCAAAGTGCAAAAGGAACTGGTGCTGCCAATCTATATTCCCTAAATCATTTTTAAAATTCTCAGCTGCTCAGTTGTTTAGTATTTTGAGTGTTTTGATTTATTTGTTTTTTTTTACTTTAAATGTTAGGGAAGACACAAGTGATGTCTAATATTAATTGTCAACTTGACAGAATCTAGGATCCCCCAGGAGATAGGCCTATGACTACTCTTTTTGGACATTATCTCAGTTGTGTTAGTTGAAGTGGGAAAGCCCATCTGTGTGGGTGGGACCAGTCCCTGTCTAGGATATTGAACTCTGTAGCAAAGGGAAAAGAACAGCCACAGGCTTACATCCATGTCAGTTTCTGGGATTGAAAGTAATGTGACTAGGCTGTTCAACCTTGTACTGCCTTGATTTCTCTGTCATGATAGATTGTATTACCCCTTTAAGTTGTCAGAGTAATTTTAATCATTATAATAACCACAAGAAAAGAAACTGAGACCATAGGCTCTGTTACCTCTTACTTTCTTTTGGTTTTGCAGTGCTGACAATTGAATTCAAAGACCTATCACTGAGCTGTCTGCTCGGGTCCTATAATTTCTTGAGTTGCATTTTGAGGTGAAACTAAAAGGTCTACACACTTGGAAGTAAATTTAGATGTAGTGATCTGTCTGTTTCTGTAGTAATATTTAATGAATAAATAAGGCAACTGATTTTTTTAAGAAAATTGCATCCTTGAAGACAATCACATCCTTGAGCAAATCATTGTATTATCATCTCAGATTTACTGTGGATAATGGGATGATGCTGCCATATTTCATGAATAAATATGAACTAATAACAGAAAGAAAAGAAAGTCAAAATTTTAATCCCTATTTTATTTTCAAATGGAAATCAACTGGTGAATTTGTTTCTGCTTGAAACAACATATTTGTAAATTTTACTTAAAATATATATATATATATATATATATTGCCTTTCTCCATTTGGGTGTGTGTTTGTGTGTGTGTGTATGTGTTTATGTGCTTACATGTGTTTGTGTGCTTATGTGTGTGTAAATGTGTGTGCATAGGTGCAAGTAGATGCTTGTATTTGTCCACGATTGATTGCGTTTACATGTGTGCATATGGAATGGTCAACGTTGGATATCTTTCTTTATCACTCTCTACCTTTATAACTTTATTTTGTATGCTTTGATAGTTTCATACATGAATGCAATGAATTTCAATTGTTTCACCATTTAGATATACCCAATCTTGCCAGTGTTAGTTTTTGAGACGGAGCATCTCATATCTGATCGGCAAGACTAGCTGGTCCGTGAGCTCCAGGAATCCTCCCTTCTCTGCCTCTCCAGCATTGGTTTAGTTACCAGGCCCAGCTATGCCTGAATTTTCCTTTTCTTCTTGAGGTTCAAACTTGGGTCCTCATGCTTGCAAGATTAGCTCTTTACTGATTGATGCCATCTCCTTAAACCCCTTCATCGTGTCCATAATTTTCCCTTCTTTTTCCTGAAATACCATCTCACACTATGAAATCTTGAATATAAAAAGTACTTTACAAGAAGATTCCAAGATTTATTTTTATAATCCTTTATAATTAACCTGAAGAATTGATTGAGACAGTACTATTTTCAAAATAAAATTAATGAAATTATCTCTATAGCCACTAACATATTACAATGTAAGAAACAGCAATCTTAGTCTGACTTACAAATAGGAATCATTGGAACGGCTCATGGTCTACAATATATTATATATTAACTATCTTTTGTCTCTTGAATTGTTGTTATTAGATAGTAGGTTTATTAACTTGTCAATAACTAGTGTGTTTAATTTCTACTGTGTTCACATTTTAAGTAGATTGACAAATATCCTTTTTATTGGGTTTTATTTGCAGGTTTCTCCCATTCCCTCAGGTGAACAGAAAGTATTAGAGACCTTTTTCTGTCTTTGTACATTGTCTCCTTTCTGAGGAACGATGGGGTTGCCTTTATGTGGAAGAGAACTGATCCTGAGTCTAATTTTCCTCCTGGTAAAATTTTCAACAGCTGAAATACCACTCTCAGGTAAAAGCACATATTCCCTGTTATGAAAGTTTGTGTCTGCATTTTAAGTAGAATACATGTGGATTGGGCATACAATTTTTGTATGCAGTATCTGAATTATCATGAAGGTCCATGGTTATGTTTTCCAGGCTAGGATATTTAGCTGCACTCATAACTTTTCAACTTAGTTATTTTGCTTTTCAAACAACCTCAGTCGGTTACAAGAAATATAACAGAGATATCAGATAGCACGTGTCATATGTCTAAGATGATACAGAATATTACAAGAAGCTTTCACTTTGAAATATTTAGTTTAGTTTATCTTTAAGGAGAAACATGTGCTATTAATTACTAACATTCAAAAACATAACAAAAAGGAATTGAATACGTCACATTTTTTTTAAGATTTGATTTATTTTCAATTATTTATATGTGTGTTCAGGTGGGGGTATATGGATGTGAGTGGATCTACCCTCAGAAAACAGAAGATGGCATCAGATCCTCCTGGAGCTGGGATAATAGGTCTGACACTAGAGCTGGGAACTGATTTGATCCCTTTGCAAGATGTAGCAATAACTGTTGAGCCACCTCTCCAGCCCCAGAAGCCTCATATTCTTTCCCTCCCCCAAACAAAAAATTAACTTAAAAATGGGAACATTGACTTATGAAAATAACAAAAAGTCATATTAGAGTTCAAAGTCTTATTGCCCACATTGCCTCCCAATCTAGTGTATTCTAGAATATGAATTATTTTAAGTCAGTGGTTTTATGACTATATATTTATAATACTTTGGCAAAACATCATGTAACAAGTTAGTCAAATATTTCAACAAATTATAATATTCATTGTTCTACAATAATACAACTGTAAACATGCTTTGTGTAATGGTCTATGAAGGATGGAATGTGGAGAATTGGAAGATTCTTCTACCTATGAAAGGTCTTTGAGATATGCATCATTATAGATCATGTAAATGCTAAAAATACAGTCCTTGCCTCAGACAATTTAATCAATATTTTAGAAGTCCTAATATAAAGATGAAATTTTCCTTTCGAAGTGCTTAGACTCAATGTGACTAGAAAGCAAGAAACTCACTTGTGATATGTTTTAAAATCTCCTCTGAATGCCACTCTTAATTACTTTAAAGAAGCAATTTTACACAACATGGTGTCCTGGTAATTAGGTGAGAATCCCCTCTGTTCTATTCTTACCAGATGCTTGAGCTCCTGCTTCTATATTTTCATCTGCTAAGGAAGTTCACTTCCCTGGTCTGCATACACATGTGCTTATGTGTACATTTCCTTTCACGTGTAGCTGAAATCTTATAAATCATACAAGCATATCAAAATTCATCATTGAACATCTAAGAATATAGTGTACCCTCACATTGAGTATATTCTACCTTTAAAAGAAATTACATTATGTGTATTGGAGGGGTTGTTGTTTATTTTGTTTTGTCTTGCCTTCATGTGTGTCTGTACGCTATGTACATTCCTGGTTCCAAACGAGGCCTAAAGATGGCACTGAATACATGGTGCACAGAAACACATGCAGGTCCCCTGGAAGGGCCAAGTGCTTTTAACTGTTGACACCATTCTCCATCCCCATTAGATTCTCTTGTATAAGAGTGCAGGTCCAAGTCACGGGTAGCAAAGATGCATGTGGTATTCCAGAGTGAAACCTCTAACCTTATTCTCTAACAAACACATTCATACTCTGCTGTTTTGCACTTACTTTTCAGTAACAACGGATGTGAAATTTTGTATTAGCTCATGTCACTTATTATTATGCTGATAGTCTCTGTTACTTATAAATGGTCATGCTGTAATGTCCTCAGACAATTGTTATAAAATATTAATAGCATGTTTTCAGAGCAGCTGAATATTGCCCATTTATTTTGGCACTCTGGAGCACTCACTAGTAAATGCGACCAAGGCAGGTATCCAATTTGAATGTCAACGAGTCTGGTGTCTCTGTAATTGGCCTAATTATAGAGGAAAGGATTTGTAATGTGGAATATATATTCATAGAAACACCCAAAGGTTATTAGCTCCTTTCCCTGAATAATTAGTTATTGCAGAACCTTTACAACCTTAACAAATTTAAGAAAGAATAATGTTGTAATAAACAAGTTGTTCTCAAGTTATTAGCTGGTGTCTGTGGGACTGCTGTTGTTCTCTCTCTCTCTCTCTCTCTCTCTCTCTCTCTCTCTCTCTCTCTCTCTCTCTCTCTTTCTCTCTCTCTCTTTCTCCTATTTACCATTGAAAGAAGCTCAATACCTACTATGCTTAGAAATGGTACTAATCAGAAGCAAGAGAAGTGCCAATGAGTATGTGGTTGCTTTTACCAATTACTAAAGTGATGATCTGATTGACATCCACTGGATAACAACTGTATTTGAGTCATTATGTGCAATATAGTGACAATGACTTATTCCATTTATTAGGCCAAAAGAAAGTAAATGCAACTTTTAAATTGAGGAAAACTTTGGGTTATTAAGTTTAAGCTGGGTGTTGATGCTTAAATGGTGGCTTGTGGGTGCTTCAGGATCTCAGCGGTACATTTAAAAGATGTGTGAGATCCAAGTGTTTTGAAAATAATACCCAAGTGCCTGTTCCTCCCCTCTTCACTGCCCTTATCATCTGTACTGATTCTTTGAGATACACTTTAGGACAAATACTGTTTCCCTAACATGAATGATGGCATGAACACTGAGCTGTCCAACATAGATGTATTTCATGGACTTAATTATGTACATATACCCCCCAAACCAAAACAGTTTTGCTTAAGCTTAAAATAGTTGAACCCATAGAACTAAATTAACTCAGTTAGTTCTCTACCTCTGAACAACACTGGATACACACTGTAAAATAAGCATAAAATAATTCTACTGCACTAAAGCGAAAGGAATTTATTTTTGAATATATCATTGCTTCTGCACACACACTATTTTTATATGAAAATATTATTGACAGAAAATTTTGATTGGTCAGATGGTGATATGCAAACATTTTACCTTAGAATGAACCAAATAATTCTGAAACTTCAATATAAACTGGCAATATAAATGATAACTCCCAATGACTACTATTTTGTGTACTCTTATTTTAAGTTGAGTTTTAGACAGGGGAATAATGGTTCAAGTATAGAACAGATAAAAAAATGAATTCATAAATGGGAAAAGTCAAATCCTGAGGAAGATTGTAGAAAAGATTTTTTCACAAAATAAAACAATAAGTAGAAATCAAATAAAAATCTTTTGCAATGATATGGATTTTTAGCAGTTTTAAAGGAGCCATTAATCAAGGGCTTCAGGCTATGAGACCACTATAATAATGCATTGGTTGTGAACTGATTTTAGCATTTATCCTGAGAGTCAGTTCCATTATAGCCATATCTGCAAATTTATCATACACTGATGATCCAATAATAGAAACATCTGTAATGTGGAGGCTATTTAGTGAAATATATTACGTGGAAAGAAAGATGGAAAAAACATGCTCTATAATGGAAGAACTATCAAAAAAGGTATAGGATATTATTTGGGTGAGAGATACTAAATTAGTTCATTATTATATTTAAATAGAAATAAGAAAAATGACAAAGATAAATTTCAAAGTGACAGAAATGTATAAAACTGAGTACACAAGCCAGCATAAATACAATGCCAATCATTTTTGAAAATAGATGCTTTAAAGTTTCAATAAGATGGGTTTTTTTTTCTGTGTTAAAAACTTATCATATATTTCTGGGGTTAACTGAAAGTTTTATGTGAAGCAATATAAAGTGATAGCCAGCAATGTATTCTCTAAATATAAATATATGTTATAGAAAAGAAGTCAAATACTTAGATTAGTCTTTTACCTACTGCATGAATTCCTCTTCTCATTACAATAATAGAATACTTCTAAATAAGCACCAATGTGAGGGAGGGTTTTTTTCTGGTTCATGATTTGACCAGATGGACTCCATTGTGGCAGGGAAGATGGTGAGAGGCTGATGTAGGTGGCCAATAGTCAGAGTCGCTCCACTTTCAGGAAGCAGAAAGGGATGAATGGTGTTCAGTTTGTTACTCCATTTTCCTCAATCCAGGTCTCCAGCACCTTGGGTGGTGCTGTTCACATTTCACATTCCTGATGGCACTCCTTTTCTCAGTTAAACCTTTTTGGAAATATCCAGATAGATACTCTCAGTCATATGTCTCTTGTGTATCCCCAAATGCAAGTTGACACTGAAGATAAACCACCACACATACCAATGTAGAAAATACATGTTGTTCTCTATTATTTAATCTTGTCTCATGTTTGAAAACCTCATTATTCAAGTACACTGTTTTGACGTTCAGTTCAACAGGTTCCAACAATCATAAAGCAGTCACATGTGCAAGTGGCCTTTCCCTTCGATGAGTATTTTCAAATTGAATGTGAAGCGAAAGGAAACCCTGAACCAAAGTAAGCATATATTAGTGAATATATATTGGATGGAACTTTATAATATGCTATTTTAATGTGACTATCATTAGGAAGAATACTAATCTGCATGTGACTAAATCACAGATTTTCTAATTAAGTGGTGGTTAAGTCTACAAAATTAAAGTCTATTTATATCATGCATGTCACAAAAGTATGGTTACATTATTATCCATGAAAGTATTCATATTTTGGTAGAACTTAACTGTGTACCTTTTTGTCAAATACAGTTCTAAAATATTTTTTTCAAAAGTTATAACCAGTTTTTTAATCTACTAATGTACTCTCACTATTTATAAAGAATTTCTCTGCAGAAATAATAAAAATAAATTTATCAAAGGGTAAAATTATAGTTTCTTACCATTATTTATAAAAGGAAAAGCATTGACATGGGGAAAATAACATAATAAAAATGACATATCATCATAAAATTATTTTAATGATATTGTAATACTGACAATTTTGAACTGAGAAATATATATTTAACATGGTTTCAAATATGTCACAGAGTCGAAAAAAGATAAAAATACAGATAAATGGGGATTAACAAGGTTCCCTTGAATGTGTGTGTTTGGGGTGTTTGTGTGTCTTCTACATACAGACATTCACACAGAGTAGCACCTTCAATTTTTATTTTGACTTCATGTGCTAAAGTATAGTAATGATCCATAATTATATCTCTAATCGGAAACCTTTTTAAAATAACTTCAATTTAAACTAGAATAAATCTGCCTTCCATCCCTTCTCTTGCTTTTCATGTATTTTCCTTGCTTGAAAACTTGCTTGAATATATTTTATACAGTTAAGATCTTTTGTGTATATTTACAACTCATAAATTGTCTTGGTGTTATCATATGTGCATTTGTTTATTAAAACCTTTTAAAAATAAGAAATGTCACTAAGGATGAATTTTGCTTTATCATCTAGATTTTCATGGACTAAGGATGATAAACCTTTTGATCTTTCTGACCCTCGGATAATTACATGTAACAATTCAGGCACATTCAAGATCCCAAATGAGGGGCACATCTCTCACTTTCAAGGAAAATACCGCTGTTTTGCATCTAATAAACTAGGAACGGCAGTATCAGAAGAAATAGAGTTCATAGTTCCAGGTAAGTGTTCAAGTAAAGATTGCATTGACAGTTGGTCTAATGAAGTGTTAAGTGGATGTCATGGCATCTAAAGAAATAAATCAGTATGAATTTAATCAGTGTATATTTCATTTATTAGAAAATTACCAAAAGACTCATCAGAGTCTTGATGTTTGCAGTCGAGATTTTGTGAGAAAGCAGCATAATCATGCTGTGCTTCACTGACCTTCTACCTAACCAGGGGGGAAGTAATTAGTTCTCATATATGATGATGGTTAAATCTATGATTAGATAAATGTACTTCAGTTTCAGTAACAGAGAATCTCAAACCCTCTACATCAACACAAAAACATTCTTTGATAATGCAGTTTAGTCCAGTTCTGCTAGTGTTTCAGGATCTATAGTCTTCGTGTATCCTTCTTGTGGATCCAGGGTGATAAAATATGCCACATCAATCAAAGAGCATAATCAATAAGCATAGATAGTTGTTTATAGGCTTTTGAATGCTTTGAGGAAAAGTGCATAGGCAATTTCTTCACCTATTGTCACATGAATATAGGCTAGCTGGATAATTCCAGTTATACAGTCATTTCCCCATTGGAGGGGAGAACCAGCACTGGCAATGTAGACAATAAATAGAAGTCATGACAAACTACAAACCCTTTGCAGTTAAGATGGTCATTTTCGAAAATTATCACTTATTTCTTATTATGAAAGCATTAGCATAATTTACCTATGTGCCTGAAATATCCACTCATTTGTTATACCTGACCTATAGTCTCTATGGTTTCTAACCACATAACTAAAGGTTTATATGGTAAAATTTTATATGGAAAAATATGAGTCAGCCGCCATTGGATAATTTCTTATTGTAGAGTCTTACAATGATAACGAACTCAGGGAATTTTCTAGATCTGGTAGAATTTGGAGCCTTGCTAGGACTGTAGGGAGGAGCAGAATTTACAGAAATGTTAAAGAAACAAAGAAGGATGAATTATTGATTTGAAAGTTGAGAGAGAGATAGAACTACAAATTTTTGTTTGCTTTTTGTAAAATTCTAGAGCAATAAGCAAATTTATACTCTATAATTAAGGTACATTCATTTAAATTTATAATGACACTGAAAATACATATAAATGATCACCAGAATGTGTGGCATGCAGAAAAGAAAAAAAAAGCAAGAAAGGAAAGATATGTAAAAAAGAAGTGAAATTAGATAGGAAAAATGCAAAAAAAGTAAACCTAAATGCACCCCAAATTAAAGATAAGAGTGATTAAAGGAATAGTTGTAAATAGTATAAAGTATTATAGTTATATATATATATATATATATATATATATATATATATATATATATAGTAATAATATAAACTATCTAAACCCTAAAAATTCTGAACCGTTAAAACAACAACATTTGAAGAATTGCCATAGATAAGGTATTTAAATGAATATGTTAATAACATTCAAAACTTACTTTGATATTCTAGAAATTAAATGCCTAATCATATATGATACTGAAACAATTATAATAGATGATGGGAAGCAACAATAATAGAACTGACAAGAAGGATAGATAAATATGTCATGATAATATCATTCATACACAAAAGAACATTACTAAGGACATACAAGACTTAAGCTAGCCAGTCACATACTGCAGCTGAAGAGCATGTATTGAATCTCATACCTAAACTGTAGAAAGAATTATATCATGTGTATGTGAAGAAAAGGCACAATTGGTGATTTTTTGAGCTGTGAATAAGATGTGCTCAGAATGCAACTGAACTAGAAATCGATGACAACAGTTTAGTAAAAATCTATCTTTGAAAACTAAATAGTATATTCCTAATTCACAGGTCAAATAAGAAATGCCAGAGAAAATAGTGAAAATAATGATTTTTGAAAAAGTTTACCTGATCATATATACTTGCTCCCATAAAAGCATTATTGAGAGGAATGTTTAACATCTTACAAACCAATATGAGAAGGAACAAGAACGTTAGAGACTTATTGGGTAACACTACCTTAGGATGAAAATTTATGAGATAAGGTAATAGAAGGTTGGGATATATATCACAGTTCAGAATCTTTAGGGGACATATAGAGTATAACCCTGCCCACACCTTATACCTCCTGTTACCATCCCCACTCACCCCAAGTCCACCTGCACAATCTCCTTTCCCAGGGATATGCATGCAACCTTTCTTGTTAGTCTAGTCTGTCTGTGGCACCAGAGAGAACCCACATGTGACACTGTCTGAATGATCAGGAACCAGAGGCAGGACAGCCCAGAGACACAGGATAGAATCAAACACTACTGATAAAAAAAAAGTCAATGATTATCTACCAGCTGATGGGAGCAGATGCAGAAACCCACTGCCAAACACTAGGCAGAGCCTGGGGAACCCTCAGAAAAAGGGGAGGAAGAATTGTAAGAGCTGGCTGGGTTAAGGTCAGAAGAACATGGACAACCCACAGAATCAACTAAACAGGTTCATAGCTGCTCACAGAAACTGAAGGGACAAAAATGGGCCCTATATGGGTCTGACCTAGGTCATCTGCAGATACCTTATGGTTGTGTAGCTTGGTGTTCTTGTGGGACTTCTAACAATGAATGGAAGTGGAAGTGTCTGACTCTTGCTTGAGCTTCAAACTCTTTTCCTTCTGGGTTGCCTCATCCAGTGAGTAGTGGTGTGAGTATTTGTGCCCAGTGTTAATATATCTTGTTAAGCCATGTTCGGATGTTCAGCCTGCTCTTCCCCCACCCCCAAAGGGAAACAGAGTAGGAGCTAATATGAGGGTTGGGGTGGGAGGTGGCACTGGGAAGAGTGGGGGGGGGGAGTGAACCTGTGGTCGGGATGTAATGTATGAGAAAAAAGTAAAAGTTTGAGAGAGAGAGAGACTGAGATTAAAAAAAGAAAAGAAAAATGGGGCCTGAAGAGGTGGTTCAGTCAATAAAGTGTTTGCCCTGGAAGCATTAGATCATATGTTTGAGCCCCAGCATGAAGAAAGCTTCCATCAGTGGCTTGTGCCTGTGATGGCAGTGTCTAGGAAGAAAAGACAGACAGACCTCTGGAGCTCACAAGTCAGCCACTCTAGTTCACTGAGATAGCCTGTCTCAAAAGGTATGATGGAGTGATATGGAAGAAGGAGCTCAATAGTCTTTACCACGTGTACGCACAATGCATGTATATACACACACACATACACACACACACACACATACACCATGCACATAAAATTTTTGAAATGATCTAGATAAACAGAGACTGATCAACTTTTGTGCATGAGAAGATTCAACAGAGTTTAAAAGTTTATTTATCCTTAACTGATACTAAGTTATTTTGCTCACAATTCTTATTTGCCTGTACGTTTATGGCAAATGACTAGATGAATGACAAGCCTACAGAATGCAAAGCACAATTTGAAAACCCTAAAAGTCGAAGTGTATAGAGACTTGGCTTATCTGATTTTAAGCCTCAGTAAAAGCATGAGTGATCATGACAGTGGGTGGTTTAGCATGGGATTAGAGAAGCTTAGCTGACTATATGGAAGCTTGACAAACCCCGAGACAAACCCTGATTACTCATGTGAAGACAGTGAAGGAGAAGATGAATTTCTCCCTCAGTCTTCTTTCCCCACTCTTCTGTCACTCCTGATTCTCACCTCCTTCTATCTCTCCTTTATGTTCCTTCCTTCACCCTCTTTCCCTCTTTTACTCTCTCTCTCTCTCTCTCTCTCTCTCTCTCTCTCTCTCTCTCTCTCTCTCTCTCTCTCTCTCTCCATTCCTTTCTCTCTCCCCTCCTCATTGACCTCTCCCCCTGCTTCTCTTTATTTCTCCCTTCTCCACAGCAGCACTGGCTTTTATGAAACACTTCATAACGGACCCACACTGTCCTCCATCTGACAATCTACCTCATCATCCTGTAACTTAACTCATTCTAAGTGTTCTAGGGGCACTCATGGCTTAACCTCCAGGGGAAAATATATTAATGTTTTCTGAAATGAGAGATAATTTTTAGAAATTAGAGGACATGCATTTATTACTTTAATCAGTAGCTTTTATTCAGTCTGAGGTGATGAAACTGAGGCTTTATAGTACACCAATGTTAAAAGAGAAAATAAAATGAACTGATTTAGTGGAGGTAAGAATCCACCATTCTGGGCCTGAAACTGTGTTTCCAACTTCATTACTTTGATAGTTATATGGGATGAGGTACTTTTCTTTCTTCCTTCCTTCTTCCTTTTCCTCCCCTTTTCTCCCCTCCTGTACCCTTCCTTGTCCTCCCTTCTGGTCTCCTCTCCTCTTCATCTCTTTTCAATCAGGGTTAGCTTCAGTTCAGATTTCTGTGTTGCTGTTCAACTCAGTAAGTTTTCAAGTGGAGAAAACACAGTAGTGTAACAATCAAAGTGAAGGGTGCAAAAGTCTCTCTTTAGTGCCCTCTCTCCTGTTACAGTCTTAGGTTAAGATCTAGGTACAATGAAGGCGTATTTTAGTCCTTTACCTCAGATTGTTTTTTCCCCACTTCCTTAAAGATGCATTCACCTACAATCCCACATTGCTACATTGCTATTTATTTTCTTGGCCAAGCATATGTTTTTTTTTTTTCTTGACAGGGATTTTGGGGAGCCAACATTCATGTGTTTCCTTTATATGCATTTATTTATTTGCACATGTGTATAGTGCACATACATGTCAAATATAACAATTCACTTACAGTGGAATGTACTGTTGGATAGGCTTGGCTTTCATATCACAGGGAGAGAGAGAGTTTGTTCTAGGGCCAGTTGTGACTGGCAGTAGCTTGACAACACAGATCTAGGTTGCCCAAATTCCACATTCGAGTCTACCAAAAGTTCACAACATTTTTATAGCAATGGAACAAAGAAAGCCATAAATCAAAAAAAATTTAAATGTGCTATTGGGCATATCAGACAGGTAGGTTAAAGTTCAGTGAGGAAATCTCTGGTACAAGCATGAGACGATGTCTGGTGAAATTCACAGTCTTTGGTTTGAAGAA